CTTGCTCAGGCTGGTCTCGAACTCCTGACCTCGAGTGATCCACCCGCCTCAGCCTCCCAGAGTGCTAGGATTACAGGTGTGAGCCACCGTGCCAGGCCAAAAAAAAAAAAAAATTTTTTTTGAAATTGCCTGGGCATGGTGGCACGTACCTGTAGTCCTGGCTACTGGGGAGGCTGAGGCAGGAGGATCGCTTGAGCCTGGGAGTTTGAGGCTGCAGTGAGCTATGAGAGTGCCACTGCACTCCAGCCTGGGCGACAGAGCAAGACCCTATCTCTAAAGATGGGTAGATAGATAGGTAGTCAGGCAGGCAGGTAGATAGGACCTGATGGCTGGCTGGAAGGCCCCAGGGAAACGCTAGGCACTGCTTGGGTTGTGTCAGGCCAGGCTCTTCCTGCGAGAGCTCTTCCTTCCCGAGACTGGGCCCCATGCACCCAGCTTGCTTGTCTTTCCCCTTTCAAGCTGCCAACACCCACTCATTCCCTGGAGGTTTTCTGCAAGTATTCTGCAGAGCAGCATCTCCCTAGCAACACCCTTCTTTGTTATGCTTGGAAGACAGGCATGCTGGCCTTTTGCTTTAAGAAAATGAAAATGCAACCTTTTTCTCGTTAAAAAAATGAGTGTTCACTGTAGAAAATTAACAAAATAATTATTATTAAAAGGAAGAATAAAAACTATTCATAATCTTAAAATCCACGGATTTCATTGTTGTTAACATCTTGGTGTGTATTCGTTAGTACTTTGTGGGAATAGAATAGATATTTGTTCATGAATTTGAGAGCTTGCAGAATTTTTATAGCTATGATTTCTGGTTGATAATCGTGCCTTTCTTTGTTGAAGTTGTAGTTGAAAGCACATTTTGCTCCTTCTGCCTTCACTTCCCTGTTTAGGTCTGGCTTACTAACTTCTACACACAACTTTTGCCCCAAGACTTCTGGGCCTGCATGGTCAGAGCAATAGATCCCTGTTAAGTAAGATGATAATTTGTAATTCTGAGGCCCTTCAGGCTGGGACCTTCACCCACCTCTGTGAGCCTCAGTCAGAAGTTACCAAGAGATCAAGTAATATGAAGTCTGAAAAGTAGCCTTGAGTTTATGAGGTTTTGGAATTGCATGGGAGTCTGGTGGACAGAAACTAGGTTTTAGTAGGATAGAGAACAAATGAAAGGACAAGAAGTAGAAATTGGAAGTATAGATTCTTTAAGAAGTTTGTGAAATAATAAAGAAAGATCGGTTTGGGAGACAAAGGGGTGGGAAACAGGGTGTAGGAAAGTTGGGAATGTTTTGAATAAAAGAGAAGAGGGTATAGACTAGGGACTTGTGAGAAGGCTGAATGGAGGAACTAGAAAAAGCCTGTTTGCATTTACAACGCTTCTTTAAAAATTTCAATTAATGTATGTTAATGTTGTATGTTAACAAATATTGATATTTATTAAGTTTAGATAACAAGTTCATGGATTTTTGCTATTTTTCTATTTCCTATATGTTTGAAGTATTTGATCAAATACAAACTATGTATCAAGCAGAGTCCTATGGGAAAAATAAAAATAATCTATGATTTTTATCTTTGTCATACTAGAAATGTAAAGAGATTAAGAAATAATCTATCTGCTGATTCATGGATTATTTTAGTTTACTAAGAATTATCCTCCATGCCATGCACAGATCATGATTTTTTGGAGAATTAGAACACAATTCTTAGCAGTCACTTTTCCAAACATGATTACTAATTTAGGTTCTTATGATACATAAAGCTGTTCATTTCTGAGTATTTGTTATTGTACAATATTATATAACTAGAAGTATTAGGAAATCAAAGTGAAATCTTTATTAATCTTACCATGTATGTCAAAAGTCACTAACTCTTCTGAATAATTCCTTATGGCATCATATTTACTTGCTATTTATCTCATTTTCTTCAAACTTGACTATTGCAAATTCTCAGATGTTTTAGATTTAAATTCAGTTGTGTATAAAGAGGAATTTATAACACTCCTTTCCTTGTTTATATGGTCAGATTATCATTAAACAGTGTGGAAATAAAGGTGCGACCAAAAGATTCAGTGGGTTTGATTCTTTGCATCCGATATCATTTGATACTAGTGGTTTTGACTGCCCCGGCCTTTCCAGAGTTTCTACCTAATCAGGTATACTCTGAAAATCATCAGACACCTGAAAACTGTTGAGCTTGCTCTTGGCCCTGAGGCCTCCGTTCTGCCGATGAATTGAGGGGAGATGAAGGTGTACCCAGAGAGACTGGAGTTTTACATTTTTCTATTTTATAACTTCCTGGTTATAAACGGAGCCTTTCTATCTGTGTTTGAAAGTAAAATCACAGTGATAATAATGTCAAAAAGTTGGAGGCAGGAGTTGCCATGGCCAAACCTTGGGGTGGCAAATAGTTGGGGGTTAAATATTGTGACTTGGTTTTATTCTTGCCTGAATTATTTTTTGTATTGATTTATTTTTAATTGAAGTTGGTATCTTTATTAAGCATATGTGCTGATATAGAAGACTAGATTCTACCTGACCTTGGAAAAATTCTTGGTAATAAATCAGAGAGTCTATCTATTTTAAATAACCAGGCCCAGAAGAAACCCTTTCCAGAAACAAAATGGTGAGAAACAAAAATACGATATATACAAATAGTTTTAAAATAAGGATACTTACGTCCTCTGGAAATAATATAATTTTTAAATGGGTAATGGGAAGTTAAGACTTCTTTTGTTATGAAAGATTTCAAGCATATACCAGAATAGAATAATGGTCCCATTTATATATATAAACTTAATGATTATCAGGATTTTGCCATGGTGTACGCCTGTAGTCCCAGCTATTTGGGAGACCGAGGC